CTTAATTTTTTCCGGAGGTCCGTTCTTAACCTGAAACTGTTCTTAACCTGAAGCACCACTTTAGCTAATGGGGCCTCCCGCTGCCGCCGCGCCGCCACCATGCAATTTCTGTTCTCATCCTGAAGTAAAGTTCTTAACCCGAGGTTCTATTTCTGGGTTAGCGGAGTCTGTAACCTGAAGCGTATGAAACCTGAAGCGTATGTAACCCAAGGTACCACTGTATACAACTTTTAGAAAACATCTGAAGGCAGCCCTGTGTAGGGGAATTTTAAATGTTTGATGTTTTCTGTTGGAAGCTGCCCAGAGTGATTGGGGCAGCCCAGTCAGATGGGCAGGGCACAGATAATAAAATTGTTTTTGTTGTTATGTGAACAATCCTGGAACCCTGGCTCCACTCTGAAGCAGTTACTTTGCCATTAAAGATGTGCCACTACATGTTTGGCAACTGAGAGTATTGTTCCTAACAGGCTGTTTACTGTATTTATTTGCAGTAGCCTGCTATGCCCTTTTTCTCCATCTTATAATGAATATTGTACGCTATTATGTTGTTTAGAAGCTGGCTTATTGTAATAGCTGGCAACTGAAAGTGCTCTTTGGCAGCTAAGTTGCATTCACCTCCATGTTCTCGTTTTCTTCAGAAGTTGTTTTTATTTTGTTGCTGCATTTGTATATAAGGATATTTTCAGTAGAATCTGCAGAGTTTTTGTCCTGACTTTTAGTCTTGAGTGGTGAGGAATGATCCTTCCCTGTTTCACTCCTCTCACAACATAACTGAGCCAGGCAACAACAACAGCAACACTTTGTTCGATTAGTTGGCATGTAGTAGCAATAGTAATGAGAGAAGCTCACGCCCTCCAATAGCAGTGTTGATGTGGAAGGATAGCTAATTTTGTTGTAACGGCAACAAATTGAAATCAACTGGACTTGTCAATAAAAATTGGAATTTCATCCTGTACTCAACACAAAGTAGTTTCACTGCAGGAATCCCTGGGGATCTGCCTGTATGGATTCTGTTGCTTCGCATTCTTGGTGATTTAATGAAATGGTCAAGCTCTGAGCTCCCCTTAAGGCATTTTGGTGCTAGGCAACCAAATGCAAGCAACCAGATACTAGAGTCACTGGTCCCTCTCAAGCAGTCCTGCCTGGTTCTGTGGCAGTACAACAAAACCTTCTTCAGCTCGGGATGTTGGAGGATTCCAATGAAAACAGGAGCAGAAATTGCTGACATTTGCTTATTTGTCCTCTATCCAAAATGGAAGTCAATGCAATCAGTATTTGCTCTTTCTGTTGTTGTTGTTGTTGTTGCTTTCAGTCTGTAAATGATACATAACTGATTACGTTTTCATCCATTTGCACTAAAGTGAATAGGGGAAATGTAATGGCAATGTAATTTATGTAATTAATAACATAAGTTACGTAATTTTGCCGCAGCAAACAATGAGACAAATAATGTAGTTTTGGGGGAGTAGACAAGTTGCAGCCAAATGGAAAAAGCGCTGCGTGAGACAAACACAGGGCAGAACAGAGAGCGGTGCAGACTAGGGTTGGAGAAGAATGTCATTCTATCTCCAGTTTTAAGTGAATTCGCATTTCCTGGAATAATATCTTCCTTAGAATGTAATCGTCCTTTAGATTTCTTCCAGATTTTACAATGCAGAACTTGACTCAAAGATGTGCCAAAATGCACTGTGAAATTTCTTTGTTAGGATAAATGTGTGCATGAAGCTAAAATGTATATTTTAAATATTCTGTTTGTGATAAAATGCATTTTTAAACATGTAAAACATTTCTCTTTGCTTGGGTTTTTTAAATTCGGTTTGATATAAACATATAACATATGAATGATCACATGCAAAATCAACGTGGACCAGTGTGACATGCCAATAGCCTGACACGCCCAGACACTGCAACGTTGCTTGTGGGCTGTGGTTTTTTGTATAGGACCTATAGTAGAGTGACACAAACAGGAAAGGTGTTTCAGGACTCACGTACGATGTTAGGAGTTCGGCTTTCTCCATTAATATAAATGGACCTGTAACGAAATGATTTTGGGTGCAACGCTGTCGTTCGTCTCCTGGTCTCTTTCTCTCTAGCCTTGTGAATGTGATAGACAGCTAGTAGTTGTTCCAGTTTTTAATTTGGACACCGACAGAGGCAGAGAGTGCTGAGAGGGTTTAAGCTGGAGTTAGTTGGACTGGAAGCAGCCTGGAAGATGCCTGCCTGCTGGAGTCCAACCTGCTGTTTTGTAATCTGATGCAGACCTGTGGTTTCCTGCCTGCCTTTTATTTCTTGCACTGCCCTCTGCTGACATGTTCGTAGGTAGAGCAGATATTACAAAAGCACCATCCATCTGCAGTACTCTTTCTTTCATTCAATGGAAATGAAACACTATAGGGATGAGCCTGAACTTTCCCCACTTCCTGAAGGTGTGGAGCACTTAACAGTCTCCTTATTCTTACTCTCTGCAGTCACTTTGTGACTGCCCTTGTTCTTCAGAGGCATGTCCTTGATGTTTCAAAAGCTAATTGCTTTTTTTTTTTTTAACTGGAAAAGTATGTCCTCCTTATAAATGCAAGCCTACAGGTTGAATGATAGGATCCATCCACAACCTTTATCTTAGCTGAAATACGTTTTTCTTTGCTTCATTGAATGTTGTGAGTGCCTTGGAGTTTATCTTTGTGCTGCAGGTTTGTTTCATAGGGCATTCTGCATAAAGTTTTTGCGCTCTGTTCTGAGGGAGACAAATAGCTGGAAAATACTAACAAAAGGTCTAGGCTGTCTGTAAATTGGTAGCAAAGCTCAGAATGTGCCATGTGTAAGTCATCAAAGCAGGTAGGACTTTTGAAGGCAGGCGGTGATGGAATAAAAAGAAATGAGTTTGAACAAGACAGAGCTGTTGTGTGCTCTGAGCTTTTGGGTTTAAGAGGCTGGCAGGCAACTTGCTCTGGACAAAGTTGTGCTCTCCTGGTAAGAGCATGCCTGGATCTAGCATTATCACCAAGGGTTCAGTAGTGAGTAGACATGCCTATATCCAGTTCCAGTTGCTTCTCCTGTTCCTGCTCCTTTAGTACAGAGCTGACATAGTCACTGTACGCCATGCTCTGGTAACTTCAAGACTGGATCATTGCAAACCACTCTATGAGGGTCTGCCATGTAGTAGAAAGAAAGAAGTCACATTCTAGTTCTCCATACAGGTCTCCCACTGAAACCAGCATAGCATCTAGGTCTGTGCTGCACCATGTCCACAGTCCACAGGTGATGCTTTGAATTCACAAGGTCACAGATCTAGTCCTCCATCCCATTACCTGGAAAATAGAGTAGATGGGCCAATGTTCTGACTCACCTGGAGATGCTGGGGATTATACCTGAGGCCTTCTGCACGCAAAGCAGATGCTCCACCATTGAACTACAGTCCTTCCCTGCTGTAAAATTATATGGTCATTCTGAATACAGTACTACAAAATGGGCAAGTGGCTGTTCCCGTGGTCTTATTAACTTGATTTATATTGCACTGTACTGCAGACACACACACCCATTCACAATTTTCTGAGCATGCATTTGATTAAGTAGGCTGTTGCCTGCAAAGTTCATCATACACAGGGCCGGCACACCCATGAGGCAAGGTGAGGCAGTCGCCTCGGGTGGCAGGATCCGCAGCAGCCTCAGATCCTGATGTAGCTCTTTAGTCCCCTCCTTGTTCCTTATGTAGATATTCACTCACCCTTTCTTCCTTGGTGGGGAGGGGGAGGCAGCCATTTTGTGGTTTGCCTAAGGTGCTGAAATATATTGGTTCGGTCCTGATCATACATATGTACAGTCACAAAGATGCTTCCACAATGTTGCTATTTTGGCAGGTCCTTTTTATGTTTGTAATTTCTGCAGGGTGACATGATTCATCTGGAATTGCTCACGCAAGGGGTCCCCTTTTCATAAAGATCCACCACGCTTCAGTGTCCACAAAAATCTAAGCAGTAAAATTCTCATGTGAAAATGTCCTCCAGAAGCCTGCATTGGGATCTCACATGATCGTCTCTTGAAGTGCTTCATTAAGCTTGAGAGATCTGAGAAAGATGTTTGCAGAATAAAGTAATTCCTGATTAATGCTGAAGTGTCAAGGACTTGCCAGCCCTCTCGTTGTATTCCTATCAGGCATTTAATTGCTGAGCCGTGCCTGATTATAAAAAGCTTCAAAAAAAGGAATTAAAAGAGAAATTCAAAGAATGGAATGAAAATGAGCCAATGAAATATTCCGTCCCCAATGTTTTTCTTGCAGAATAGAAGCTAACACTACGTAGGCCTTATCCCAGGATGGAGGACTGATTATATCAAACTTGCTTATTTAGTAGGGTTTTGCATGAGCCCCCCCCCCCATCTGATATAGGGACCCAGAGAAGATGTGCTCTCCTTTCCCCCCTGCCAACCACATGGGATTTTAAACCCTAATATTAATGTTTAAACATGCAGTTGTGAAGGGGGAAGAAGGAGATGCATGCAGACTTCCTACGAGTCTCCCTCTGTGCCTTCTTCTTACTGCCAGGCTCCCCCTTCCTTCAGGTGGACCCAATCCTTCCCACAATGATCTGGGGCAACCTCAACCCAATTTGGCCAAATCCCAGGCCAAACTGAGTCAGGATTCGTCTGGATCCAGTGCACAGCCCTAATATTTACTTTTACTATGTTCAATGGAGCTTACTCTCAGATAAGTGGCCATTGGATCGCAGCCTTAGAAACGACCTCTTCCAAAGTAATTTTCCTCCCTGTGATGTGGTGTACATAGAAGAAGAAGAAGAAGAGTTTGGATTTGATATCCCGCCTTTCACTCCCCTTCAGGAGTCTCAAAGCGGCTAACATTCTCCTTTCCCTTCCTCCCCCACAACAAACACTCTGTGAGGTGAGTGCACATGAGAAGTGTGACTGGCCAAGCTCTCCACCCTAAGTTCCCACACTAACAATTTTTTGGATCTCATGATCTTCTTTCCTTCTTCTTTTTATTTACGTAGAGGAGATCCTGAAGACCCATATTGCACACTGGTGGTCCCCCGACGGCACAAGATTAGCGTATGCAACTATCAATGACTCCAGAGTCCCCACTATGGAAATACCTATGTTCACAGGCAGCCTCTACCCTAAAGTGGAGACCTATCATTACCCAAAGGTAGGATGGATTTGATCTCTTTAACACCTGTATCTTTTTACTTCCACCTGGTTAAAATACAAGAACATGTAGCGACGTAACCAGAAAAGCCCATTAGCTTTACACAGAATACTTTAATTCATCCTAGTAAACAAGTCTTCAAAAATTACTAGACAGAAAAGAAATTACTAGCCTGCTGAGGGCTGCTGGAGAAAAGTTAAAGCACTATATTTCTGTGTTGAGCTCATATCCACACCCCATATTTGTGGTACATGGCTCTCCTCAAAGAAGCCTGGGAACTGTAGCTTACAGAGCTACAGCTACGGTAGCCTCCAGAGCTACAGTTCCCAGGATTCTTTTGTGGGAACTCATGTGCCTTAAATGTGCATTTAATGTGCTTTAAATGTGTGGTGCAAATGTGACCTTTGTTTCTATGCATTCCATCCCCTCTTTATATGCCTGCTCCCTTCTTGCATGGGATTCCATGCCCTCACCAACCCCTGGTTCCTGCTCACCAATGACCACTTGCCTAGTGATTACCGTATTTTTCGCTCTATAACACGCAGATTTTTTCTCCTAAAAAGGAAGGGGAAATGTCTGTGCGTGTTATGCAGCGAATGTGTGGTCCCTGGAGCCGAAAAATGAGGCAAAAATCAAACCGCGCTTCAGGGAGAAGGGAGCTCCGTGAGAGAGGAAGCTGTTGCTTTCCTGCATTCTGCCTCAGGGTCTTACTGCCCACCCTGCTCTGTTTCGTTGCTGTGTTTGCTCAAACGGAACAAAGAGCAGGGAAAGCCCCTCCCCTCCTGGAAAGAAGAGAGGAGAGCAGAGCGTCTTTCTAATTCCTCTCCCTGCTCCGGAGGGAACAATGTTTGTGAAGGGAAGAGAGATTACAGGTTCGGCTTAAAATTCTGATTTGACTTCCTGCTTTTTGTTTTTGGAGACACACAGCATTCAAATATGCTTTCTTCCATTTAAAAGGATGAAATCCTTAAACAGTGTTTTGCCTGTAAATTCATGCGATCTGGAAGATTACAGTGTCTGTACCTCTTAAGGGATGGCAAAGCTTAGGTTTCGCTGCTAAATAGTTCTTAATGCAGTTAAAATGCTTTCTTCTGTCATGCTGGTGGGAGGGAGAGGGAGAGGGAGAGAGAGAGAGAGAGAGAGCGCGCGCACGCTGGCTGGCTTGTGTGGGTGGGTGGGTGGGGGGAAACTTTTGCCTTCCTTTCCTCACGTTATAGCCCTCTCCTGCATTCTTAGCCTTCTGTGTTTTTCCTTCCCTCCCCACTTAAAATGTGGTTACAAAGCATGGATCCACATGGATCCTCAGGATCTTTGCATTGGGTCACCCCAAATTCACCATCAGAGCACACAGCATGTCCATGGCTACAGCCTGTCCCCCCCAAAAAAAAAATCACGCACCCACTGTTGCCTGGGGCTGCAATGGTGCAAAAACGTGGTTACAAAGCATGGATCCACATGGATCCTCAGGATCTTTGCATTGGGTCACCCCAAATTCACCATCAGATCACATGTCTGTGGCCACAGCATGAAGCACAAAAATGATACGTCCACTGTTTCATTCAGAATATTTTTTCCCTTGTTTTCCTCCTCTAAAAACGATGTGCGTGTTATGGTCAGGTGCGTGTTATAGAGCGAAAAATACGGTAAATACAAGGCATCTTTAACCACTGCTCTAATCACTTGAGATCCAGTTGCATGACCATATATAGTTCGTAGATTGTTTTCCCTGCAAAGCCATTCCGTGGCTTCCAGTTGAGCAGAAGGGGCAGAGGGGCTGGGGTGGTGAGAGGGCTGTTTCACCTTTTATTTGTCAGCTGTTTTTTTCACTCTGGCTACTTTGCATGGGAATTTTTCCCTTCTAAAGCAACCATAATGGCTTTGTATTTTAAAAAATATAATAATCACTGGGGAACAATTGCAGAGCTATAGGTAGCGTGACATTTCTGAGCTACATCTGCATTCTCTCTGTTTTTCTAATCCTTAGTCAGGTTCTGAAGTTTGCCAAGTCCAGCACTAAAATCCTCATTTATACATTCTTACTTATAAACAGAATAAGTCATTTATTAAACACTTTTTTATCATTCTGTCTTCTTTTGTCTTCTAGGTTGGGACAGAAAATCCGAGCATTTCCTTACATGTCATTGGTTTGAATGGGCCTACTCATGACCTGGAAATGACTCCTCCTGATGATTCAAGAATGAGGTTTGTGCTGTACTAGCTACGTGTGGCAAAGACCTGAAGTTGTTACCTACCACTCCTTCCATTAAACCTCCTTTGTCTATTATTATTGTTTCTAATTCCACTGTCTTTCCCCTCCTCTCTCCTTGTCTTGAGCGCTTATCTGCTTTGATGACAGAGAGGCTTAGGCTATGCAAATTTTTCATGGCCCCTCTAGCTACCATTGCAAAAACTGCTAGACTGAAAAGAAATTACTAGCCTGCTGAGGCCATTAAAACATCCGCTTGTTGGCACAGATCAGTCCAGGGGTCTCAGAAGGGTTATTTTAAAATGAAAATCCAGCTGATAACACTCCATGCCTATGGATTGCACTGTGGCTGTAAATTAAAGACCAAACAGCTTTAGTCTATTTAAAGGCATCTGTTAAAAAAATTATTTGATATTCAATTTGAATCCTGCTCTTCGGCAAAGAATAGGCTTTCCCATTTGATCCTCACAACAACCCTGTTGAGGTAGACTAGGCTGCAGCCAGCTAGCCAGTTTTGTGGCTCAGCAACTCCTTGCTGAGTCTATCACTTTGCCCATTACACCAAAACTGGAAAGGCTATGCCACAATAATGCCATGCTATGGTTGGAAACCTGTGAATGCTTGGCTTGGAAATAAATCCTACTGAACTCTTCTGAGTAGAACATGAATTGGATCATACTGACCCACAATACAATTAAGCAAGTATAGCTCTACACACCTACATACCCCAAATGTATAATATGCCTGTCCAATTGCCGTTTCCAGGGTGGTTACCATACCTAATGTCACCTGTGCCATAACGTCAAATGTTTACTCCATTCTGACCTCCATTTCTGACCTTTATTTTTTATTACTGTTATCATTTATTAAATTTGTATCCACTCCTTCCAAAGGAGCCTAGGGCAGCAAACAGCAAAAATGTTAAAACAGTGAAATTTAAGATTAAATGTTTAGCGCTGTGATTCTAAATACCGTAGTTTTTTTAGTTTGAAAATGAATTCTTTTGAAAGCAGTGGGATTTCATGTCAGGGTAACCTTATGGAAACGATGCTTATCTTCTTAGAAACCCCTGATTAACGAAAAGCTTTGGATACCCTCCAGGGTAGTTGAATCAATGAGCTTGTGCTGTTTAGTGTGTCCAGTATATTGCTAAGGTTAATTATCTGTACTCTGTGGGGTATATTATAGGTCTCAGATTTAATTTAGCACGTTCAAAGCTCACCTTAAAGTCTGCTCAGATGACCTAGGCATTCAAAGGTTAACTATTTAGACATGACTTAGAACTATTTATAAAATACATAGTCCTCAGAATGGTCCAGAATATATGCTGAAATGAGCTCTAATCTCAGACTGAGCAAAGAACAATGTTTAATTCTGAGTTTATAATCTCTGACATTTGCATCCAGTTATTGGGGAGCATGAGCCTTTGAATGACAATTACTGGAAGACACAATTGTGCTCATGGTCTTCCTATAGGCATCTGCTTAGCTACTACGATAACAGAATGCTAGACTAGATAAGCCTTTGGTCTGATCCAGCAGGACTCTTCTTATGTTCTGAACCACTCCTCTGCCATGTGGGTCTCATCCACTGTAACCATTAATCCAACTGAAAATAAATCATATTGAACCAGAAAGTAATATATCATCACCATCATAATTACACAAACCGTACGATCTGGTCCAACATATTCCTCATGCAAGATTTGGAATCCCTGGTTCTCATCAGTCGTCATCAAACCCTTAGTTTTGTGACCCAGTTTTGGATTGTCTGAATGCCTCTCTCTATTTTGATTTTTTTAAAAAAATCACCACCAAGTTCAAGAAAAAACATAAATACAGCCATCACACCCTGTTGGAAAACCTCCTGATTCCAGCTGCTTTGGGTTTCTAGAAGGTGTAGGAGACAACAATTTATCCTACTTTCACATTGATTCTTAAATTGTGCAAGCTTGTTATCAATGGCCACTCGCCGTGACGGCTGTGCCTCCATAGTTGGAAGCAGCATGTTTTTAGTTGGTGGAACTGCAAGAGAGGAGGGTGCTGTTGTGCTCAGATCCCCCTTACAGGTTTCCCACAGACATCTGGGTGGTCCCTGTGAGAACATGATACTGAACTACATGGGCCACTTGCCTGAACCAGCAGGTTCTCCTTATGTTCTTATATTGTGTTCTTAATGCTGTCGGAAGGAGTTTTCCATTCTCTGCTTATTTTAGTTTTATTAACAAAAGGAAAACAAGCTGTTTTTCTAGAGCAGTGGTTCTCAATTAGCTTGCTGTTGTTTAGTTGTGTCCGACTCTTTGTGACCCCATGGACCAGAGCACGCCAGGCACTCCTGTCTTCCACTGCCTCCTGCAGTTTGGTCAGACTCATGCTGGTAGCTTCGAGAACACTGTCCAACCATCTCATCCTCTGTCATCCCCTTCTCCTTGTGCCCTCCATCTTTCCCAGCATCCGGGTCTTTTCCAGGGCGTCTTCTCTTCTCATGAGGTGGCTAAAGTAAAGTTTTTGAGCCTCAGCTTCAGGATCTGTCCTTCCAGTGAGCACTCAGGGCTGATTTCCTTAAGAATGAAGAGGTTTGATCTTCTTGCAGTCCATGGGACTCTCAAGAGTCTCCTCTAGCACCGTAATCCAAAAGCATCAATTCTTCAGTGATCAGCCTTTTTTGTGGTTCAGCTCTCACTTCCATACATCTTAGCTCAATTAGCTAAGTATTGTTAATTCAAAAGCCAAGCTTTTGAAAACATTGATGCCTCCATGGTACCAACTGTGAGCCACTGCCCTAGAGAATATGCTGGTGCCAAATTGTCATGTGAAAGAGAGGGAGAGAAAAAATGTTTATGATACTGAATTTCTAGTGCACTGTTATATTTCCCAAACTTCAAATGCTAGGCATGGGCAACTCAGTTCTTCTGCCCTGCAGCAGAATGCTTGTGCTCTGTCTTCTTATTTTGCTGGATAATCAGATCGTCTTCATCCTTCTGAGTCCTTCCTCCTCTGTATGCACAGCAAATCCTTTCCAGAATGCAAGCGATTTCTCCGGCGACGCAGCACATTAATCCCAACGAGAGCAACAACTCCTTTATACATATTTTATGGCAAACAAATGAACTCATAAAAATTTTATGGACTGTACACACTGTGAAAAGTCATTGTCTTATAATTTAAAGATGACTTTGACCTGTGCATTCCACTTGAATATGATAATGTTGCATGATTTGTCAGTCTTACAACTGCGACACTCATTCATTATCAAGTCATTTACCCCTTTCTTAGCTCAAGGGGGAGAAGTGGCACGCTGCATGCCTCGAGAACATAAAAAAGCAATAAGCAGGCAAGGGCCTGATTATGATGTAGGTAGTATGGGAATTCAGACGAAGTTCAAAGAGAGGAACACAAAAATGAATCCTGGACTTGTTACAATCACGACATATTGTTGTCTCGTTCTGCATCAAGTTTATTAATAGTCCACATTCCAAGAACAAATATTTGGGTCTGTACAGTGAAGGGAAATTGTGTTCTAAGTACATGTAAGAGTAGCACTCACATGCCTTCATTTGTTTTTAGGGAGTACTATATAACCATGGTCAAGTGGGCAACCAGTACCAAAGTTGCAGTAAACTGGCTGAACAGGGCACAGAATGTTTCTATCCTGACTCTCTGTGATGCAACAACTGGAGTCTGCACAAAGGTATTCATTTTTATTTACCTGCAGCATGTATTGTCCATGTGCAACATAAAGTTCTCAGGGCAGCTTACAACATAAAGTAAAACAAGTTGAATGTTCAATAGTGTTTTGATGCCAGGCAGTTGAGCACCCGTAGCTTTTCATTTGGCGTTTGTAGTCTGCACCAATTTTTTGAAGCCTGAAAAAGGTGAGCGACCCATTGTGTGCATTGAAAGCAAAAGATGCATGCAACTGGAATTGAAATAGGAAACTCCCTAGTTTCCCAGGGACAGATGTGAAGCTAACTGGCCCATAATTTCCAGGATTCCCCCTGGATCCCTTTTTAAAAGTGTGCCAATTGGGCCAGTACTCTTCAGTCTTTTGAGACTCAGGGTCCAGCTTTAATTCAAACATGGATTTTGGAACTCATTTCTTAAATTTTTCACTATGCATTTGTATGGTGGTAGTGCTCCTGTTTCAGCCTACCTTAGATCAGTCAGCAACCTGCTATTAGGTTCAGACCCACCAGCTGAAGACTTAGGTCTTTCAGGTGGTTGTGTAGAGGTAGCATACGACCATCCCTTCCCCATGCAGTGATGTAATATAGGAGCCAACTTAGACCTCCATGCAAAAGCTCCACCTGATGCAGGCCATGTTACTCATCATTATTCATCTCCCACACAAAAATTGGGATGGGGAGAAATTTGACACTCAGGATCCCCACTCAAACAGGTGTTCATATGTGGCCTGGGGCATAGCTTGGCCCAGGTGTGTGGTAGAAGGGGAGATTTCAGTGTTCCCCCACCAAGCAAAACCCTGGGTTGCTTACAAACAATGTGAATAATTATCCTCTTACTGTTACTCACATAGATTACTGCCATGCTTTAAACACATTCACTTGTTTAATCAAGAGCAAAGGCCTTTCAAGTTGCCTGCTCATAAATCATACTCAGATGGGCTCCTCTGTGCTTGCTCAGCCATTGTTGGAATTGAGTCAAATAGCTTTCTGCCCTGATGAGCAAAGTATAATAGATGCAAACTACAGTATAATATTTTAATTATGTTGCTTTGTTTCAGAAACATGAAGATGAGAGCGTAGCCTGGCTGCACAGACAGGTAATAGTGGTCTTTCCATCTCCTTAATAAAAGGTTCCACACTCAAAAGCAATAGAGCAGAACCACAAAGGGGCAAATTGAGAGATGCAAACACACACTTCAATACAGATCAACAGTGACATAGGAACCTACCTTTCTATAATAAAGCTACTCTTTGTCTAGGGATGCTAACTCTGTGCGCTTGTGTTAGAAGAGTTGGTTGGAAAAATGGTTGACTGCCAGCTTACACTTCAGCAGAGGCCTTCTTGAGAGTGGGCTTGTTAAGTTGTGGGTGAACATATCAGACGACATAGCGATTCTTCAAACAGCTCTTGTTTATTCCGGGGCCAGAACAAAACTGAGCTGAAGGGCTGAGTCAGCCTGCTTATATAGAGCTCCAGAACAACGTAACTGTAGCAACTTTCTAAAACTATCCAATCACTGAACGTCACTTTCAATCCTTCATTTGCATAACTATCTACAGTATCCCCCTGCTGGCCCAGGGTGAGAACTTCAGCACATAACAGGGCTGCTGCAGGCCCAGGAGAAAGTAGACTCTAGTCTATGAAGCTTATGCCATAATAAAGGGGTTCTTTCCCCCCCCAGACCACTAAGTCATCAGGGTCACTGCGGTGGGGTAGGGAGACGTTCAAACTGGAAGATGGACTGCCCTGCCTGAAAATGGTAGGGCTAACAGGGCAGAAGTTTCCTCAGCCAAACAGCTCTTGGTTCTGAACCATGATTAGCAAAAGCCCATGGTTCAGAGTAATTATTATTGGTGTTGACATTGAGTCAATCAGAATGGCAGCGTTTTGCAAGGGGAAGGCATGTAGACAGATAGCAGAGTCTGGATCAGCTGTTCCAGCTTAGTTGGTAGCCTTTGGCAGAAACAAAGTATTAAGCTGTGTCCTCTTTTAACAGAAATCTATACGATTGGTGCCTTCTAGCTGTTTCCCTGTAGGCCATTGTATGCGCCTGTGATTTTTTGTTTTAACTGTGCAAAGGGATAATATATTTGAACATCAAAGTGCTGCGATGCCCAAAATCTCCTGAGGGTTATTTCTCTTGATCAGAGTCACAGAGCCGCTTCTCAATGAACAGCAACAGCAGAAGCCTTTGGAATGGCAGGGCTTCAAGATTCTAAGGATCAGCCAGCTCAGCTGTATGCTGTTTACAAGATATAGCCCTAGAACCTGGAAGGAGCTCCCTGCTACCTTACTACGGCTCTTGTCAGGGGCTCCTGGGTATGACCTGTGAATGCTAAAGCAAAGTTTAGTGGGACTAAATGTGCTCAGGTGTAACAAATACTGTAGCTTGTTAAGGATGCTGAGAGTTATTCAATTCAGAAACCCCTGTTCCCCTCATGGGGCTACAGCAGGGGTCACTGTCCCTCAGACTTTGTGGGGGGCTGGACTATATATTTTGGGGGGGGGGGATGAATGAATTCCTATGCCCCACAAATAACCCAGAGATGCATTTTAAATAAAAGGGCACATTCTACTCATGTAAAAACACGCTGATTCCTGGACCGTCTGCGGGCCAAAGGCAATTGGGCCGAATTCGGCCCCCAGGCCTTAGTTTGCCTACCCATGGGCTACAGTTTCCAGAGTTCCCTGGGAATAGGGATGGGTTGTTAGACCATGCTGGGAATTGCAGCTCTGTGGGGGAAATAAGGGGTCTCCTAAAAACTCTCAGCACCTTTAGCAAACTGCAGGTCCCAGGGATCTTTGTGGGAAGCTGTGACTGCTTAGTGCTTTAAATTGTATAGTACAGATGGGACCTGAGTTTCCAAGGACAGAGCAGGCAGGCAAGTCAAGCATATAAAGAGAAGCAGGTCAGTTTATTTTGCATCTGGAAAGGGGAGCAACCAATCAAGGGAGGAGGGCGTTGTGGACAAAGGCAAAAGGCTGATAAAGCTGCAACCTGTGCCCATAGTGTTTTGCACAAGGATAGCCTCGTTTTCACTGAGCTGGATTTCAGCCGCAATCCTAGAAGATACATGGTTTGAATCCACATGTGGCTGAAGGAGCCTGGCAGAAGGATGGGACTGGCACGGTTGCTGTCTTGAGTGGTTTATTTCAAGATTCATGAATATTTATCTGTGCATTCATTTGCAACTGCTTGGTATTTGCAGAACGAAGAGCCCGTCTTCTCCAGAGATGGCAGGAGGTTCTTCTTTGTCCGAGCCATCCCTCAGGGAGGGAGAGGCGAGTTTTACCACATTACCATGTCTTCATCGCAGGTGAGACAAAGCTCTGCTGCTGCTAAACGCCTTTTTGGGTGTGGGTGAAAAGTAATTTACCAAGAATATTGGCTCTCTGGATGTTGTTGGACTCCAGCTCTCATCAGCCTCTGGCAGCATAGCCAGTGGTCATGGATGATGGGAGTTGTAGTCCAACAACATCTGGAAGACCACAGAATCCCCACCCCTGTAACACACTTACATTGGCAGTTTTGACGATATAACAAGTCAACACCTAGACATATCACATGCAAAGCATTTCCAAGAAAATGTGCATCTGTTGAAGACAATGACATCTGAGTACTGTAGTGGGTTGATACACAAACAGTGTTTTGCAGGAAATCCTGTGGCTGGCTTGCTGTCAGTGGAATCTGCTGGCACTGATACAAAAGGGGTTTAAATGAAAAACATAATTTGCAGACCAAAGAAAGAGGGATTGATGGGCAACAACCAAAGAAAAATGAACTGGTCTCCGCAGAGTGAGCAGGTTTGACTGGGTTGCACAGAGAGTGGATAGGAGGCTCCTTTGGGTGTGAGCACTGAGGGCTTAGGGTGCAGGGTGGGTTAGATTCCCTTAGAAGAAAGCATTTCTGTATGTTTTTCAGATGCAACTTCTGTGACCCTGAAAAGCAAGCATCCATTTGTAGCCAAAGTGCTGGACTTAAGCTAGGGAGAAAGGGCTCAGATTCCCACTGAAACTCACTGGTGACTGTAGGCCAGTCACTGTCTTTCAATAGAGCCTGCCTCACAGGGTTGTGGCCACCTTGAGCTCTTTGGAGAAAGAGTGAGACAAAAGTGCAATAAGTAGAGTTTTCCCAATCAGACTCCGCTCATCTGTCTCTGCTTCATCTTCACCACTTTTGGAGAGGCTTCAGAAGCCCCATGGCACAATTTGAGAAATTCTGAAATACGGCTATCCCAAGCATGAATTTGGCTCAATTTATTATTTTCACTTCTAGGAGGACAGAAGAAGAATAAATTAGTGTCTTTAAAAAAAATGCATCAGGAAAACTTGCTCTGAAGAAAATAATGCAGATATAGGCTTGATCATCGTTAGAACACCTTGCTCTATGTTTTGAAATTCATCTCTTCCTCCTTTCTCGGCAGCCCAACAGCAGCAGCAACGATTTACAGTCCATCACATCGGGTGACTGGGATGTGACCAGGATTTTGGGATATGAGGAAAGGCACCATAAAATGTAAGGAACACCAAACCATGTCAAGTCAGCTTCCATGTCTTAGAAGTTTCAGTTGACAGCACTGCAAGGGTAACTGGATTAGGGAGCGCTTATGTGTGACCCAGTGGGCATTGCTCTGGATTGAAACCTGTGATATTAATGTGCTTAAATACAGAAGCTAGGCTTCCCTCGCATTACTCTGTTAAGTAGGAAAGTCTCCTCTGTGAAATGGATGTAAGCATAAGAATCAGAGTATTGTTGTGAGGATGCTCCTGTCCAAAGTTTTACCAACTAAAATGATTCATACTACTGTGGAATAAGTAACTTCAGGACAGCGGCTTAAGGAGCATTTTGGATATATCTTGCTTGGCCTTTGGCTTACTGCTACACACATAAACATTTTTCCAATGTAAAAAGAGTATTCAAAGACATTCAACGCTGCTTCTCGGGGGTGGGGGCTGTCATATTGCAAACATGGAATCTCTGAAGCATTTGGGTGCCTTTTAATCCAGCCTTTTTTATATAGAACATCCATTTAAAATCAGTACAATGGACAGCTCTTTTTCTATTGCTTTGTATAACTGCTGAATAATAAAATTTCTTTAGAAATTTTCATCTGACAGCTGGAAGGCTGGGCTAATCTTGTGTATTTAATTGCATGTAGCTAACGATTTTGACAAATGTGTGTTCAGCTGCATTTGGTGAACATATTGCATTTTCTTTTAAAGTTCTTTCCAAATGTGAAACATCTGCATGAGACCATTGGTGCACTGCTGCCAGGATGACATTTTTTAGCAACACAAATTTGCACATAGGTTTATGATTGGTTTTCACCACTGCCTGCATGACAGGCAGGTCCAATCATGTAGACATGAAAATCATGAGCTTTAGGGGGAAAGCCCCCCCCCCCCAATAATTTTGCCTCTTTTTTCTGTTCATTTTACCATTCCAAACTTGCAGCCACAGGAAGAGAGACTCTCTTTTAAACAAAACAAAAACTGGAATTAGAACTTAAAAGGCATCAGAATAATGTTTCTAGGGTGCAAGGAGTCCATGGGGGATATCTCTTCCACCTTTCTTCTGAATAGTTTGTGCCTATGCAGATAACCCAGATGAAATACTGCTCTCAAAAATCTGGTTATAATCTATGTGCATTTTATTCTAGCTATTTCCTCAGCACAGAAGAGTTACCAAGGACACGGCATTTATACAGGTATGATTTATTTTCATGGAAGAAACAATGTCCAGACTTTTCCTTGAAAGAGGTTGTTATCAGTTCTTCTTACACCTGAGCAAATTCAGTGCAAAGTAAGCCAAAAGAAGATATATGGAATTGTGTCACAGAAGTGGGGGAGGACTCAGTTTCCCAAAAGATTTACAAGTGGTTTTCTAATTTGAGAAATGGCCGCTCACCCCGGTCCGGCGGTGGGCGTTGTTTGAGGCCTGGCGTGAGGCTTCCCCGTCCTCCCGCAGCCACGCCGTCCTTCTGACCATTGCTCCGCTCCCCTGGCTGTCATGGAACCTGCTGGGTTCCACCAAACCCAGATTCAAATTCTGGCCTATCCATGGCAGCCTGAGGGGTGCAGGACAACCAGAGCGGACCGAGTCGGAGCAGGCTTCACTCTGGTCTGCTCCAGTAGAACAAAAGAGGGGCCGGACCTGCATAGTTGAAAAGTAACGAAGAGATAAATGCTTGAAATGGTACTGGAGGAAAAACATTTTCAAATGATAATAGTGCTGATAAAGCAATAAAATTCCCAGGTGGTGACCAACTTTCTTAGGGGCATAAGACCAAGGCTCTGCTGTCACAGCAACTATCGCTTTTGGAAGGTATTTTCCAGTACTGTTTAGAAGCCTCTTCTTTTGCTTCCTTTGGTTTTTGATGCTGCCGACACTCCTCTGCAGGTGTGTGATTTGGGGCAATTTCCTGCTTCCCAACAGGAGGAGGCGCCACCCGCCAGCAGAGGAAACGGGGGCCTGCCAGATTCTTCAGATGGGGATGTGGGGGGTGGGCTGGATTAGGAACATAGGAATCTGCCTTATGCTATCTTTCTCAGTGTTGCCTACACTGGCTGGCAGCAGCAGCTCTCCAGGGTTTCGGGCAGGGGTCTCTTCCAGGTCTGCCTGGAGCTGCAAGCCTTCTGCATGTGAAGGGAATTCTCCTGACCACTGGGCCACTGTCATTTCCCAGTTCTAAAAACCAAAGCTGCTGTGGACTAGACCATCACACCATGCCCAGGGACAGCTCCAGCCCCTAAACACCTGGTTGAGAAAGCACCCAACTCTGTCCAAAGTCCTGCCATCACAAATCCACATGCCTGTTCTAAGCAGCGCCAGCAGAATAATCAGACGTGTTGTTTTCTCCTCTTTCTCAGTGCCAGCACTAAAGGGCCCTTCAACAGGCAGTGCCTCTCTTGTGACCTGATAAACAACTGCACGTACTTCAGTGCATCCTTCAGCCACAACATGGCCTATTTCATCCTGACCTGCGAAGGTAGGATTCTTGTATTGTCCTATAACCATGCAGCAAAGCAGGCCACCTTATTAATAGTGCCAATAAGGAATCACTCTACAGCTGTACGAGGCTTTAAAGGCAGCCAAGCGTGGCTGACTGGGCCAAATACCCCCAACCAGGTGGTCTCCAGGTGTGGCTGGAATACAGCTCCCACCATCCTTGGGTGCGTGTCGAGATGCAGGTCAGCACACAAGAAGCAGATTCTTTCGGTGCAGTAAATTCTGTATTCAAGAAAACGGCACACAACACTCCCGGCAGGTCCTGCCCCTATAGAGCAGTTGCCAGTACTGATGGCCCCCGCCTTCAACCCCCTCTAAGGCTCCTCCCCTGCCAGATGTTTCCCAAGCAGTCTCAAACTGTGTCTGGGTACCTGTAATCTCTGTTCTGCTCTGCACATCATTCCACATGCCATGTTCCACAAGGGAGCAGGGAAGCTGGTCACAGTAAGAGAGGCAGACTCCCTGTATTCTCTGCTTCAGCCTCTGAGTCTGAGCTGCTCCCTGTCACAGGCTCGCCTTGCTCACTAAACCCCGTTGCCTCTTCTGCATCCAAAAACCCCCACCCCCACTCTTCTCCCTCTGACCTCTCCTCAGTGTCCCACCACCAATCCCTTGACTCTGAGCCTTCCTCCTCTGGGGTGTCCCTTGGGGGTTCCCCAGCTGGTGCCTCCCACCATTCCTCGTCATCCAGCCAGTCCCTGCCACTGGATGACCTTGCTGGCTGGGCCTGATGGGAGCCAAAGTCCAGGTATCTGAAGGGTACCTGGTTGAGGAAGGCTGGACTAGGCAGCCAACTGCTTCCAGGATATATGATGTAAAACACTGGTAATGAGATCTGGGCTAAGCAGCAATTGCTCCTTCGCTTCCTCTCCCCACCCTGCAACTCCACCAAGCATTAAGCCAGATGGAAACAAGGCCCCTGCCAACCCTCCCATTGTAGAACAGCTGTTTGTGGACCTCTCAGCTTCTGGAATTTGCTGCCATAAGAAATGAGGAAAGCCACAATAAACATTTGCCTGCTTTCAAGACAACCTGGCTTGGACAGACTTTCAGCTTTCTCATCATTTTAGCAAGCAAAATTGATACACTTTGCTGGATGTTGTAGGGCTTGGAGACGAAGGTTGCAGTTTTACTTGAGAGTATATCCTGTTGAATTCAGTGGGACTTATTTCTGATTAAACATGTATGGTGCAGGGTTGTAAACGTTCAGGTTGCAGCAGGATCTCTGTAACGCGCAGCAATGTAAAGGAGGGGAGCTGAAAGCTCTTGGATGTTTGCTCAAGGCAATGTGAATGTGTTGTTTTGATTCCTTGTTTCTCACCCATGTCACCATCGAACTTGTTAGAATTAAATATCACCGTTGAACTTGTTAGAATTAAACCTTGCCGCAAGCTTGGCATTTATAGACTCTGCCCTGCAGCTACAGATCTAAAGCTCTTTAAAGTATTTCCTGCAGAGTTCATTTATTCTCTTTTTACCCTGTTGGATATGCCTGATAGATATAGTACATGTGTCTTTAAGAATAATATTTAATAATAATAAAGCTGGAAAATGAGGCATGCCAGTTATTAAGAGCTGATTCACAGTTATTTACATGCGTTCTCCAAAGCAGAGCAAAACCGGATAGCTGTGCCGGCCCATTAGAATAAAAAATTATACAGGATCTAGCTGCAGGGAGACACAAGCAAGGCTTCACATCACCTGCCTTTGAGCAGATACCCCTAATGTTCCCCCTTTTAAAAATGTTCTTGAATATCCTACCTGAGGAAGTGTTCTGTGTAACTCACATGTCTTGCATCTAGCTTTCTTAATACGGACCGGCTATAATAAAGGTATTGCTTTTCAGATACGGTGAATAGAGTTCTCAAAGACCCAAATGTTAACCTGATTTTGGTAAATGTTGTAAGTTTCTGACATTTTCCAATGGTCTTGTTACTGGTAAATATTGTTCATGTCTGTACCTACAGCCGCACTTTGAAAAGTGCAAATGAGCCAGAGCTAATTGCAAAGTAAAGGTAAAGGTAAAGGGACCCCTGACCTTTAGGTCCAGTCGTGACCAACCACTCTGTGGTTTAACCCACAGCGCCACCCGCGTCCTTTAATTGCAAAGTACCAGTATAAAATAAAGTATCGACAGGCCAGTACATTGACGCAGTGATAAACAAGCAACTCAGAAACCTCTGTGTGACAGAATTCCCCCTCTGCCCATCCTGTCAAGAACTGAGCAGTGCATTAACATGCTTCCCTGGGAGGGATTGTAGCTTGCTGTTTACACATTAAGTCAGTGTTTCCCAACCACTGTTCCGCGGCACACTAGTGTGCCGCGAGATGTTGCCTGGTGTGCCGTGGGGAAAATTCGAAAGATTTTTTTTTTTTTGTAAAAGTCAAATTAGGTCCTAATCTATCCCTCGAGCGCCTCTTGTCCGTTATTGTGACGCATGAAGCGTGTTCCCGCCCACTCCCCGCCCTCCCTTGCTTCTCTCTCTCTCTCTGTGGCGCTCTCCGCCGCTTCCTGCCGGGCATGCGCAGCTCGCCTCGCACTTCCATTCCGGCCCCTCCTTCCCCCGACTACCCCGCCGCTCCGTTCCTTTCTCTTTCTCGCGTGTCAGAGAGCGGCGGCGCGAGCGCGGCGGTTCCCTCAGGGCTGACGGAGGGCTCGAGGAGGAGGAGGCAGGACGTGGAGGCGGAGAAAGCGGCGGCGGCCACCCCCCACCTCTGGCTCGAGGCCTGCGTAGAAAGCTGAGGGGGAGAGATAGATAGAGGTGGGCGGCGGCGGCGGCGGCGACCACGACCAACCGCCACAGTAGTTGTAGCGGTGGCGACGGCGAGCAGGGACTCCCGCTCTCTCTCCGTCGTGTCTCTCTCTCTCTCTCTCCCGGGCCCGTCCGTTGAGTCTCCCGCGCGCCTCGGCTACAAGATGAGCATCGAGATCCCGCTGGGTCTGACTGAGCTGCTGCAGGGCTACACGGTGGAGGTGCTGCGGCACCGGCCGCTGGACCTGCTGGCCTTCGCCGCCGAGTACTTCGCCAAGCCGCGCTCTCCTTCCTGCCTCGCTTTGCTGCCTCCTCCCCCCCACCCCCAAAGCTTGGAGGTTCCCCGGCGCCGACCCGCAGGTTTGACCCCCTTCTCACACCTGTTCGCGCTCCTTGCACGGAATGGGGCGGATGGGGAGGAACGGGGCTTGCCGCTGCCTCCGCTCGCCCTCCCCCCCTCCGCTGGCGGTCCCGCGATTCTTGGCTTTTTGGCGGTTGGCACAGAAGGAAGGCAAGGGGGAGGGGAAAAAATTGAATCTTACACTTTCGTGCGTCCCTCCCGGCGTGACGCTGCGCGCTGACGTCACGGGGCTGTAATGGTGGTGTGCCTCGAGATTTTTTTCATGAAACAAGTGTGCCTTTGCCCAAAAAAGGTTGGGAAACACTGCATTAAGTCACTGAATGTGTTAACTGTTCTGGCCAAGATTATTCCCTTCCAGAAGGCTGATTATGAAGATGTCCTTCTCCCCCCCCCAACCTCCTTCTTTGTGTACCCCTCCAGCACAGAAATGTAATTAGTGCTGGGGGGCAAGTTGTGACCTTTTGCCACTTTTCCTGTGGCTCGGGAAGCGTAAATTAGTTTCTGATGTTTTAGAGCAGAGCCAGACTAAATCAGTCTTTTGCACATGGCCATCTTTTGCATTTATTTGCTGGTCCCTCTTTCCAGAGGACTAGTACCCTTAATTCTGAGTGATGGTCAGGTCATAAGCCTCTGCTGGGCATGGCTCATGTTAACTCTTTGAGAGGGAAAAGTAATTCGTTCCCTTTCATTAAAGCACTACTTTAAAACACAGGGCAGATCGGAGGTCTCCTGCCCCCAAACCCAAGGCTTCACAAACGCAGCTCCTCCAGATTAAAAGTAGGATACTATTAACTCACTTAATTTTTTTTTCTTAAGAGAACATCTGTTCTGTCACCCTTTAACAACATAGTTATTAAAGTAGGCTGTGATTAATTCAAATTGTCACTTATGCGGATGTCGGCATTAAGTTTCTGTTTCCTCTGAGCAGACCAATCGTTTGTATGTTATAAAATACTTCATTGTGGTGTGAAGCACCATTAATTTAACATAAATTACCCTTAATTGTTCGCTGACGTGAAAGACAAATAAATAAAATAAATGGAGAGCCAGTGTGGTGTAGTGGTTAAGAGTGGTAGTCTCATAATCTGGGAAACCGGGTTCGAGTCTCCGCTCCTCCACATGCAGCTGCTGGGTGACCTTGGGATAGTCACACTTCTTTGAAGTCTCTCAGCCCCACTCACCTCACAGAGTGTTTGTTGTGGGGGAGGAAGGGAAAGGAGATTGTTAGCCGCTTTGAGACTCCTTAAAGGGAGTGAAAGGCGGGATATCAAATCCAAACTCTTCTTCTTCTTCTAAAAGGAAATGGAGAAAAGCGATTGGCGGCTTCTAGTTTAACGGTGACTTTTACATGGAGTGAAGGTTGGCCGTTGTGCCTCCGTGTAATTGACCAGAACAGATGGTTCTGCAGCGCAGCAGTTTTGCCTCCTTACTGTACTTGCAAATATTTAGGAAAGGGGTATGGCAGAGCGCACAGGTACTGAGCTGTGCAATTCATCTGGAGGCAAATAATTCACCACGGAGTTCTCCAGCTAGCTAGAGCTGAATTACATAACATGGTAATAACTACTCTGAGAGGCAAGTTAGGTTGCTTCCAGACAGCTTGTTTATTGAGCATTCGGCCTATTTTGTTTGCACAAGGTTTATAAGGAGGTTAGATGATGGTGGCTACGTACTGAAATTAATTCTGATTTGTTTGTGGGGAGGTTAGATGACGTATCAGTCGTTATCCACATTTTCCAATGCATTTCCACATCACTTTCATTATACAGGCAACGACTGTTTTGCACGGAGGTTACATTCCTGATCCTTGATTGTGTTGGCAAAGTGCGCATAAGCCCATTAGGCCCTGCTCCACCACCTTCTGGG